AGATTAATTACTGAACAGAGTAAAATAAATAGTGTGCTAATAAGGATGCTCTTACAGTCAGTCTTGTCATCCTCTCCACTTTACAAAGGTGCATGCAGAGTTCACACAACTTCACCACTTTTCCAGAGATAGCCTGCTATTGAAAGTGGATTGGTGTGGGACTCTTCTGACCCAAGCATCAGCTCCCTGGCTGCCTGGCTCTTCTGCTCAGCCTTCTTCTCAAGCCACCAAATGACTTGATCTGTGTTCCCTGAAAACTGCATGCTCTCTGTGACCTCTTTCTTACTGGTTAAGATTGTTGGGAAGGAGATGTTCGTGAGTGGAAATGGGGAATAGGACAACTGTCCGGGAGTTCACCCTGGAGGGCTTCCCTGCAGTCCAGCATCTCGGGAAAGTCCTCTTCTCAGTGCACTTGCTGGCCTACCTGGCCTCTATGGCAGGGAATGCCGTCATTGTCAGTATCACTTGTGCCAGTGCACGCCTGCAAACTCCCATGTACTTGCTCCTCAGCACTTTCTCCTTCCTTGAGTGCTGCTTCACGAGTGCCGTTATTCCCAAGTTGCTAGTCATTTTCCTTTTAGGCAGGCAGAAGATTTCCTTTGCAGCCTGCTTTGTGCAAGCCTTTGTCTTTGTATTTGTGGGAGCAACAGGCTTCTTCCTCATTGCTGTGATGTCACTGGACCGCTATATGGCCATCTGCATGCCTCTGCACTACCCCACCATCATAAGCCTGAGGACCTGCTCCTTTCTCATCACTGCCTCACTTGCTGTAGGCTTCACACTCATTATGGGACTCATAGTGAAGGTTTCTCGATTGTCCTTCTGTGGCCCCCATGTCATCCCTCACTTCTTCTGTGACCTTGGCTCCCTGATCCATCTCTCCTGTTCTAACACTAGGTCTACTGAAATGCTAACTTTTGGCCTAGCCCTGCTTGTCCTATTTACTTCCCTCCTTATAACCATCACCGCCTACAGCAACATAGCAGTCACAATCATGCGCCTCCCATCAGCCAAGGAGCGGCAGAAAGCCTTCTCTACCTGCTCTTCTCACCTCGCTGTCCTCTCTCTGATATATGGCAGCTGCATCTTCATTTATGTGAAACCAAAGCAAGCAAGCAGGCTGGACTCCAACCGAGAGGCTGCTCTGGTGAACACAGTGGTGACCCCACTGTTGAACCCTGTCATCTACACCCTGCGCAACAAGCAGTGCGCCAAGCACTGAGAGAGACTATGTGCAGAATGAAAATGTCAACATAATAAGCCAATGGCATTGGAGTGGAGGTGTCACAAAACCATTTGTCCCCATTCCAATAAATGCACACCCCACATCATCCCACTCAGTCTCCAGTGGAGCTTCTTTGACCTCTGGGTCACATCCTGGGAAAATGGGAATCTGCTTTCAAGTGGCTATTTGTGCTTTGTGTGAGTATCTACCTTCTCTCTCATCATTTCACCCTTGACATTAGATTTCAATTATAAAATACTTTGCTGAATATTTATTCATCCTTCTAATATAAACTGTGGAATTACTGAAATATATTTCCATTTATTTCCATTTTACTCTTCTTTAATCATAAACATAGTCAAGAGATGTAATAGCTACATACCAGATATTACTAAAATAGCCCTAATGCTAAGAGGTTGTATAGTGCACT